TTTTCTACAATATAACAGACAAGCAGAAAGGAACCAGTTACCTGAAGCTTCGTGGAACACCTCTTCACCATCTTCTTGGTCCTTTCCTGAATTATCTATAGATTCTACACCATGGTGTGACTGATCCTTCACTTCTTCCTCGTTAACTGGTTTCAAAACCTCAGGTTTCTTGACCGACCCGGAGTTTTCCTCATTATTTTCTTTCGCAGCAACATTATCAGTAGTCAGAGTTTCCTCTCTATCAGTTGTGACCGCGTCACCAGTCTTCTGGGATGGAAGCTCTTGGTTCTCAGTTTGCTGGTTTGTACTTTCCTCTTCCGCGGTTTTACTAGTCACTTCTTCTTTAAAATCCAAATGTTCTACTTTTTGCTCTGAAACGCCTTCTGCAGCATCTTGCTTAACAACAGGTACTTCTTTTGCATCTGATTTAGGAGTTTCTGACTCTTCATTATTCACAGAGTCCTTTGCGACTCCACTTTTCTCACGGTCCAAAGCCTTTTCTTGTTCATGTAATTCGCCGTTGCTCTCTTCAACCGTTTTCACCTCCCCTGCAGCATTCTCTTTCGTTGGCTTTTCTGCTAAAACCTATATGCCATCAACAAAAAAGGAACATTTCATGAAATGAAAGAGCTACTTCTTAAAACAACCCCTGCTATACTGAACCATTGATTATTTTAAATACACCTGACATAACCGACCTCATAACACTAGACGAGTGATAGAGGTTCACTAGAGGTTTCAAGAAAATCGAAACGGTATTGAAAACAATACGACAAAACAGAAAGGAACTGCTAGCCTGTTTCTTTTGTTTGCAGGTTTTCACTACTCTCTTTTTGCTCTTCTGCCATCATCGGACAGGGTGATTAAAGGAAACAGGAAAGCGTCCGAAAATTACAGCCGAATCTGTAGTCCAATGAAATCGCTGCTTCCAGAAGAAAAAATTGGAGTAAATGAGTTGAACAAGCCAAACTAAAATGTCAGTTTCTCATCATTTAATACTGGTTAAAAAAAACTGAAAAATATCTGACTTGTTCTTGCTTAAAACAAAGCAAGTACAACAAATATTTCTTTTTTTTTTGAACCTTCACTGTCAATCTGACAAATACAAAGAACTTGACTACTAACACTAACAACAACTCTATGAAACAAGACCCAAAAATCTAAGTAAACAAACAATATGGCACACAAAAATTGACACTGAATGTGTTTTCACCCTTCCGCTAACTTTGACATTTTATATCTAGGAATTGGGGTCCTAATGCATCCTCCCAACAAAACTGCAATTGCACTGCATCATACGATATTCCTGTAGAGCTTGAATGACCGTTGTGAGAAAAAATGTTACTTTCATTCATCAGAGAAAGAATTGATAAAAAATCTAATAAATAAAATAAAGAGGGAGAAAATAAAAAATCTTGTAATTGAAAATATAAAAAAGATCTATGAATCAAAACGAAAAACAAAAATAACTAAACCCACTGCACATGACGAACTAAAAAGCAATAATTGCATCCAGTGAACCGTTTGAAAAACAACACCAAATAACAAATTTTTGACTTATGTTCTCCAACTAAGCAACTGATCATCACTTTTCAGCTAAAAGAGTTCTTTGGATATACCAGAACTGTTTACAACCAAATAAATGTGAAATTTACTTGCTCACTGTACATAGATTTGAATATACCCCAGAGACAATTTTTTTTGAAAAAGCAATCACGCAAAGTATTATTTTGCAAAAAAAAAAAAGGTCCCTGACTTTGCAAACAATAAAAATTAAAAAATAAAAAAGAGCAACCTAAATTTACTAATAACATTAAATACAACAAGATGACTGCTTTAGCACAAAGTTCTCTCTCCTTTCCCCCCTCCCCTCTCGTCATTACAGTGTGATCGTGATGATGGTGGCCTTAACAATTTAAAAATACACTGTCAAACCCCTTCTTCCTCCGACGTTTGGTCGTATTATTCGCAGTAATCGCCCCCTACCTTCCTTCCCCATTTCGGTGATTACTTGTGCCAACACTGTATTACTGAACAACATCTTTACTACACACATAGCGCTCCTCTAAGCCCACAAAACTGCGATTTCAAATAAAAAACATGAGAAAACACAACACACACAGACACACAAGAAAGTGTTATTCTAGAAAAAAAAATAACGGTAATAAAGTAATGATAACAAAAAACAGTGACTGAAAAACCAGAAAAAAATCTATAGTGACAAAAAAAGAAAGTAGCGTTCATAATATCTACAGAAGTGACTGCATTTCAGCTACTAACCAAACTGTGTAGGATTCATCTAAGAAATGTTGACGATAATCTTCGTCAAATGCACTAAATTTATTTCGTCATATTTACAGTCGGCCCTCACACAAACACACAGGTGCAAAAATAATAACTCAACGTCCACCGCAGACATACAAGAACACACGGTCGCTTGGATACGTTCATCTTCTCCATCCTCAGCGCTTGACCATTACTTCACTCTCTTCTGCTTACATACACAAGTGGACGTGCACAGTTACGAAAATGTCCAGTTTCTGCACCGACAAGTTTTAGTTGCAACTATCGAGGAAATGAAGAGCAACAATGGCTCTTAATACAATACAGTAAATACGCGCGCAATTTCACCCCGGTAAATCAGTTTCCACAGCTGGAATGCTGCCAAACCCGAACTTATCCCTCTTCCCATGCGATTGGCATCGAAACTGCTGGCGGAACCACTGTATTTTCACTAGTTCCTCTTGTGCTTAATACCAAAGGAGAAGATAGATCGGAAACAACGATCCAATCTTAGAGCTAGAAATGCTTTTCATCATGTTGGACAACGCTTTCACTGCTACGTGCCACTGCTCTAAGTCAAAACTCCCCTTTTCTGATGTATAAATTGCCCTCCAAAAAATGCAGGTCACTCGAAATCAATACAACCAAAAAAAAAAAAAAAATGTAGCCCTTATCATCTTCTACAGACGAACCGCAGCTGTTTTTAGCCAATTTTCGACATAAAAAAAACCGACAAAAGAAGAGAGATCTGCAAGTGTAAGCAAAAGAGTGTTTACGTATTTTTACACCCCAAAAACAAAATCTAACAATTTGCAACCTGAAATTAACAGCCAAGGCCACCCTCTACACGAATCAACTGTTATAATTCCCTATATCACTATATGTTCCTATTTCCAAATGATCCATACTAACAGCAAAAAATCACGGACAAAAATACCGATAAAAGAGAACAAGTACGTAGAAAAATCTTTACGCCTATTCATTCAGGAAAATCAAAATCCTCCGGCATGCTTTTCAATTGTATTCTCAAAAAATTTATTGAAAGACGTTTTCATTCCGTTTGGTCGAACAGCACATAGATTTTGAGGAACAACAAAACACCGAAAAAAATTTCCCCGCAACAATAAAAATACAAGCAAATAAACAAACAAAGAGCTTAATGAAACTTTTACTACCAGTAGGTACGCAACCGAAACAATCTGGTGAGGCTACGAAACAAGAATCTTTTTTGCAATTTTCTTAAAACATCTATTCTTTGAAATATTAAATGCAAAAATTTCCAAAAAACCTCAATCAGAAAAAAAAATGAACCTAAAGTGGAATGCATAACCGAAGAAAGAAGAAAACTACGCATCGACCAAACCTAAAAGTGACACATGAAGGAAAAAACAGTCTAAAAAAAACTTTCGCCCTTTTTTTTTGGCGCAAACGTCGGAAGAGAACGAAAACAATAATCCGATTTCTAACTGCACAATGAACAACAATGAGAAAAATATTTCCCAAAGCATTTGCCCTCTTAGCTTTACCACTTTTTCATCTTTTTTCTTTTCTTTTTTGTCTTTTTTATTACTCATTAGCAATAATTTTTAGACTATAAAACAAAAAAAAAAAAAACAGAAAGTTTCCCGGAAAAGAATTAACAAAACAAATTTGTGTTTAACAATTAAAACAAAATGCAATAACAACAATAAGTGGAGCAATACAGCGAACACAAGAACATAATATTGTATAACAGCATCAGCAACACCAGTACTACCATCACCACCACCATCCGCAGCAGCATCATCATTTTCATCATCATCATCACCACCACCAGTAGCATTTAGTGGCAGCAGCAAAGACAGCAGTAGTACCGACGGCACCAACGGCGGCAGAGAAAGCTGATGTTATAATTGAATTGGCAATTTTCCAATTTTACGAATTTAAATTATAGCAAATTTTCGTATCTGCAGTGACATCCTTAGTAATGACCAATTATATGCTTATAGCTCCTTAACGAACGTGAAGATTAGTGACTTCTTGATTCTGGTTACTTCATATCCTTTTGATCATTGTACATCTTAAGCGATCAACAGCCTAAACTTTTGTTTCTTTTTTTTTTAACCTAGTAAACTATTCTTTTATTGTTATACCATTTTTTTGATTCGAGTATTAAACAGTTTTTGATTCTTCTCTAGTCTTTTTGTCTACGCATACAAATACTGCATGTGAAGTATGTTATGAAGAGATACTCTGATCTGTTCTTTTTTTTTTCCTACTAAAGGTAACTAAAGATAATGATTTAAGACTTACAGTTGTTGAATGTAACAATTTTGATTTTGTATTTACATTGTGGATGGTTATTTATTTGTGCTTCGTAGATAAACAGTTATGAGAGAACAAAGCATATGAATAATGGCAAAAGTGATTGAAAAAAATGTTAGCAAAATTTGATTGCAATAAATCTAACTTGTATTTGTCAAATAAAAGTTTTTTTTTT